AACCCATTAAGTCACTCTATACAAGAAAACACACTTTAAACATAAAAGAGACAGACTGAGAGAATGGCAAAAGATATACAAACTCAGTACATGAAAGCTAGTGTAACTATATTAATATCAAAGCAGACTTCAAGAAGGGTACAATGAGAAATGGGGGGATTTTATAATGACCGAAGACTCAAATTCATGAAGACACTTAGTAAAAATATCCCCAAATCATAAAACAAAATTAACAGAATTAAAGAAAAAAATAGGAAAATCCACAATCATAAGTTGATCAAATACATAGACAAAAAAAAATAAGAGTACAGAATTTCTGAATGACATATCAATGTAACCTAACAGATATTTACAGAACATTCACTGTATTCAACAATAGCAGAGTTACCCATTTTTCAAGTGACTGAGAACATTCACCAAGATAGGCCACATGCTGGGCCATAAAAAATGTTTTAACAAATTCCAAAGGAATGAAATCTAACCAAGTACATTCTCTAACTACAATAGAATTAAATGAGAAATCTGTAATAAAAAGATCTGAATGTGTTCCAACATTTAGAAGTTAAATAATGTACTTCCTAGTAACCCACAGGACGAAGAAAACTGTTACACAAGAAATTTTAAAACACTTTAAAATAAATGATAAAAATACACATCAAAATTTGTAGGATGCAGCTAAAACAGTGCTTCTGGCTCAGAGAGAAACTTATAGCTTTAAATGGCTATGTAAGGAAAGAAGACAGGTGTACAGGCAAGAATGTATGTTTCCACATTAATGAGCTGGAAAAGCAAAGCAACTAAGTAGAAGAAAGGATATAATAAAATTAAAAAGCAGAAATCAAGTGAAAAAAATGGACAAACAATACCACAAAAACCCAATGAAGTAGAAGCTGGCTTCTGGCGGATTAATGAAAGGGAGAAACATCTAGCAAGACTGATCAGGAAAAAAAATGAAAAACATAAATTGCCAATGTAAAGAATGATAGGGAAAACATAACTACATGCTTCATAGTAATTAAAGAAGAAGAAGAAGATAGTATGGGCATTATAGCAATGAATTTGACTCCATAAAGGAGTGGACAAATTCTTGAAAACTACAACCGGAAACAGAAAATTTGAACAGCCCTACAGCCTCTGAAAATAATTATATTCATAATTACAGGATTTCCCAGAAAGGAAATGTCAGGCTTAGACGACTTTCCTAGTAAATTCTATTAAACATTTAAGTAAAAAATAAAGGCAATCTGCCTGGCTGGTGTAGCTCAGTGGATTGAGCACGGGCCTGCAAACCAAAGGATCACGGTTCAATTCCAAGTCAGGGCATATGCCTGGGTTACAGGCCAGTTCCCAGCAGGGGATGCAAGAGAGGCAACCATACATTGATATTTCTCTCCTTCTCTCCTTCCCTTCCCCTTTAAAGATAAATAAAATCTTTAATAAAAAAAATTAAAAAATAAAACTGTATTTTTAAAAATCTTTAAAAAATAAAGGCAATCTCATATAACTCTTTCAGAAAAGAAAGAAAATTGAATTCACTCACCAATTATTTTGTAGGACCGCATAACTGTGATACTAAACTTAGGCACAGACATTTAAAAAAAGAGAATTATACCAATATAGATCATGAATCTAGACACAACAATCCTTAACAAAGTAACAGCAATTAGAATCCTGCAATATATAAAAAGCATAATACTTCATGAACAAGTGAGATTTGTTTATTCTAGCAAAGCAAAATAAACTTAACACTAAGAAAAATCAACATAACTCACAAATTAAAGGAGGAAATTAATATATGCAAACTTCAATTAATATAAAAAAACTAACAAAGTTCAATACCCATTCATGGTAATACTCCTAGCAGATTAGAAATAGAGGAATTCCCCTTACTTAGTAAAGGGGCATCTTAAAAACATACAGCTAATATTATATGTAATAGTAAAATATTGAAAAAATTTCCTTCCTAAAATTAGGAACAAGGCAAGGGTATTTGCTCTCACCACTTCAACTGAATGCTGCAACAGAAGCACATATACAATGCATTAAGGCAAGAAAACAAAAAAATAAAAGGCATATAAAATAGAGTTAAATGCTGCTTTTTGCAAATGGCATAATAGTGTTGGTAAAAATTCTAATGAATCTACAAAACAGCTGTGAGATAACTAAAAAAGCAAATTTACCAAGACTGTGAGAGATAAGATCAGTCTATAAAAATAAACTATAGCTCTATATACTATCCATCAACAACCAGAAAATGATATTTAAAAAATGTCATTTATAATGAAACCAAAAACATCAAAAGACTAGAAATAAATCCAAAGCAAGATGTACATACCACACTAAAAGTTCTGAAATACTTCTAAGAGAAATTAAAGATGACTTAACTGGTAGAGAGCTGTTGTACATTCATGGATTAGAAGACTCACTATTGTTAAGATGCCCATTCTGCCAAAATTAAAATTCAGGCAGGACTTTAAAAAATAGAAATTAACAGCTGATTCTAAAGTTCTATAGACATTCAAAGAAACTAAAATAAACAAAATAAACCCAAAAAGGATAAAATTAGAGACCCTAACTTTATGTGACTTTGAAACTGACTATACACCTCCAGTAATCAAGACAGAGTAGTAAAAGGATAGAGAAATAAATCAACCAGAATCCAGTCCAGAAATAGACCCGCACTGTCAAGACAATCTAATGAAAAGAATAAAATATTTCAATAAATAATGAACAAATGGATATATTTACTGAGAGAAAACAAAAATACTACCCCCTATTTCACACCATTCACAAAAACCATACACAGGTCTAAAGGTAAAAGCAAACTCTCTAGCTTCTAGAAGAAAACACAGAATATTTTCGTGGCCTTTTTAAAGAAGACACAGAAAGCACAAACCATAAAACAAACATTTGATAAATTGTACTTCATCAAAACAAAAACATTCCTGCTCTTCAAAATATATAACTAAGAAAATGGGCTAGCAAACCACAGATGAAAAGAAAATATACCCCATATCAAGAATATACATATTATATATTTTTAAAGATGCTCCTCAGAAGAAAGGTATACGAAGGCTAAGAATCACATTAAGAAGTTCTTAACATCATTAGTCATCAGAGAAATACAAAAGAAAACCACGAGATATCACTAAAACCAGAATATTGTACAGTGGTTCTCAATAAGACAGAGGAGTTGGCAATTTGGACTCCCAAAAGGTAGTTTCAGTTGTTAACTGGTAGTTAGGATGCTGCTGAACATCCTATAATACACGGGACAGTCCCACATAACAAAGAATTATCGTACACAAAATGTCAATGGTGGCAAAAGTGCGAAACCCCCAATAGCTGAAATGCAGGAGATTAATAGCATCCAATGTTGGTGAGATGTAGAGGAACTGAAACACGTTGATACACTGCTATCAGGAATTTAAAATGGTTCATTCACTCTGGTGTTGAATAGATGCTGTCCTGTTTAGTGCAAATGGCCAAATCAAAGGCCCATGTGGCCTGCAAGGCCCTGCACAATCTGGTCCCAGTCTACTCCAGCCTCATCTACCAGGTACCTAAGGTTCAGAGATAATGTCGTAATAAATTTTTCCATTAATTCTACTTAACTTTACTCTCTGATATCTTAAAAACTCTGAGATAACACACACACACACACACACACACACACACACCCATAATTCCGTTTAACTCATTACCTAAAGCAGGGATAGCAATACATTCCCGACAGTGAAATACCTACTGTTTCTCAGAATAAACACTAGTAGTTGTAACAAAATCCCACAGATCTATTTGATAGAAGCTGTTTCTCTATCAAATAGATAAACAACTGATGCCATATAAGTAATGGCCTTCTATCTTTTTTTGAAACTGAGTATTATAGAGACCATTACAGAATTACAGTGGCTTAAGAAACAAACAATTAAGTATGAAAACATTAATACAAATTAGGAAAGATACTATATAAATACTACAACTCATTTCACAAAAGAATGTAGTCAGGTAAAAAACAATGTATAGTTGACAGTATACAAGACGAATATAATATAAAGTACAAATGCAAGCCACATATGTAATGTTAAAAAGTAAAAAGAGCTCTGGCTGGTGTGGTTCAATAGATTGAGTGTGGGCCTGCAAACCAAAGCATCACAGGTTTGATTCTCTGCCTGGGTTGTGGGCCAGGTCTCCAGTAGGGGGCAGGTGAGGGGCAACCACACACTGATGTTTCTCTCCCTCTCTTCCTCCCTCCCTCCCTCCCCCGTCTCTATAAATAAATAAATAAATAAATAAATAAATAAAAGCTTTTTAAAAAAGATGAAATCTTTTTTAAGAAAAATATTTTTAATATTTTATATTTTATATAAATATAAAAATATATTTGCCTATATAAGGAAATATATTAAGGGAATAATATATTTCCTTATATAGGCAAATATATTTTCACATATTACATATACAATATGCAAAATAGCTAATATATCCAAAATATTGCCATTTCTATGCAATCAGCAAGAAAGTTTTAGGTTATTTTGTATTTTTTGTACTGTCTTTGAAATACACTTTTTATTTTATATTTACAGCATATCTGAATTGGACTAAGCTATACTGTAAGTTCTCAATAGCTTCATGTAGCTAGTGACTGCTGGATGATAATGCTGCTGATTACATGACATACTTCTAAGCATTTTACATGGATTATTTCAATATATTACACAGAGGCACATACAGGGGAAAGTAATGTGTCCAAGATCTCAAAGTTAGTGGTGGAATCAGAATTCCAGCTCAATCAGTGTGACTGAGATCTCCTGCACCAAACTACTGTGTCACCTCAAAGCAACTTTTCTTTTATTAAAATATGACTGAAACTTTCAGTGAACCAACAGTGACTATCATGTATACATTTTATGGAAACAAATTTCTGGTCACACAAAAAAGAAACTGATTCCACCACCCCTCCCCACTGCATAATTTAAAATCTGAAAGAACAGACTTACCATTAATATGAGTTTTTGATAATTTTGTTTTAAGTCTGATATACTTGCAGATGGGTTTGCCCCCAGAATGCTGTACCAATCCTTTTTTGGTGTCCGTTCAAATGCCATCGTCCACTGAATGAGAGGTGGGCCTTCTCAGATCAGCTGAATGAAAATACCAATGACAATGAATTAAATTCATTACAGTGTGCGTGTACCTAGGAAATAAGCAAGTACTGCTTTCCTAACTTCTTCAATATTTAGATATTTGAGTAAATCATGACTATAGCAGAAGACTGCTGAAGCACATAGCTTTGTTTAAACTGCCCCAAGAATTTCACATGTAAGAGTACAGGCAAGTGTGAAAAACTTGTTAGATGTTTAATGTTATATGCTTAGATTTAAGTTAATGAATATACAACAGCAATTAAAAAAACAGAATCCGATGATGAAGCCGAGCGATGGACGGATGCCCCTCTAAGATGGTGTTTCTGCCTGTCTTAGGGTAAACGGGCCACACAGTGAGCATTCACTGAATACACTAAAGGATCTCAATAAAAGTTTACAGAAAGAACTTTTTAAAAAGCAAAGTAAATAAGATGAATTTGGGAGCATTCCCTCTTAAGTTTTTCAGTTCACTTCTTTTCTTCCAAATTACACTGAAAGAATGAGAGGCATCCAATACACAGGAGGTAGCGAGCAAGAATCCCTGTTATTGCAGTCCTCGCAAGGAGATGCCGAAACTATACACTCGAGGATACTGTCTGCAGTCTCTAGGCTACAGAGACCTCGCCAGGAGCCCCTGAAGCCACCGCCCTTCTGCCACAGCTGGGAACAGAGACCTCGCTAGGAGCCCCTGAAGCCAGGCCATTTCTGCCACTGCTGGGTTGGGAATCCACTGTTCGCAGGTAACTATCCGGAGGACCTTCCCGTGGCTTCACTCCAAATCATACTTACCAAACTTCACAGAGGCTTGGGGACAGTCTGCTTACATGCGATGGGCCAAAACTCAGAACTGCTTCTTCTTCCGCCGGAAGTATTGCTTTGACGTGACCACGTTTCTAGTCGAGGCGTTGTGGCCGTGACACTGGTCGGAAGCACTGCTCCGCCCTACAGGACGCGGTCGCTATGGTAACCAGTCCGCTACCAAGGAGTTCTTCAGCAGCAGCTCGAGTTGTGAAAAAAAGCGTCCTTCTCGCTTTAAATTCCCTCTTGTCCGTACTCCGTCAACGTCGTCTCTCTCTTCTGCCTCAGTAAGAGCCCCTACCCCTCTCGGCTGCCTCTCTGCCTTCCCCCAAACGTGCTCCGCTTGCCCTAATCAGCGCTGCTCCCCCTTTTCTGGTTGACGAATGTACTAAGGGTTGGTGAGAAGGGTGAGAACTGAATTCTCTTTAGTCCCTACACTTTCCTTAGAATGTTTTCATTGGAAAATTAAGAGAACTAAAACTTTTGCCGAGTAGGGTTCCGCCCCCCGCCAGGTTTTTTTTTTGGGGGGGGCTGGGGGGTGTTCAACCAAATTGTTTCATTTAGATCTTAGCAACCGGCTTAAGAGAGACAGTATTTCCAAGGCCTTTCACATATACTATCAGGCTTCACTTTCACTTCAACGCAGTGAGACTAGTAAGGCAAGTGCTATTTTTCTCACTTTGTACTTAAGGAAACAAACCAAGGATTAAGTTCAAATAGCTGATTATAATGGCAGCAAAACAGGGCTCTTAGCAAGTGTACATATTCCCAAGGCAACCATGCCATCTTTGAAATTAACAGAAAAAGCAGAATAACTTGCCCCACTTTGAGGTAGTTGCGGGCACTCTAAATGGGCACAATTAACTTTGCGGTTAGATTTTTCCCTTTTTCATCTCCCTTTCTTCCATTCTGTGTGTCATTTATTATCTCTTCTCTGTGCTGCTTACAGTACATTGACCTTTCTTCCTTGCATTGTACCTGAAGGCAAAAACTGCATCTTATTTCTTGGCGGCATGATTTAATTTCACTTGGATATGTTAAGATTGTTTTGTTTTTACTGCTTAGATTTGATTTCCTTCGTTTTTATCTTCCACCAGATCTCACTCAATCTGAGGATTAGTCCAGATAAACCTAAACAAGTCAGTAAAATATTTTAATATGGCCCACTGTTTAACGATTGTATGAACTGTGAAGAATGACTGAATGATAGCCCTGGCTGGTGTAGCTCAGTGGATTGAGGGCGGGCTGGGAACCAAAGGGTCAATAGTTTGATTCCCAGTCAGGGTACATTCGTGGGTTGTGGGCCAGGTACCCAGTATAGGCGCTGGAGAGGCAACTGCACATTGATATTTCTCTCCTTCACCTCCCCTCTCTCTAAAAATGAATAAATAAAATCTTTTTAAAAAAGAATGACTAAATGACATGGAAAAGTAAAAAAAAATCTCAAGCTCTATGTATAGATTAGGTTCTCCATGGGATTTTGGCATGTTTAAAAAAAGATACAAAAAAAGCGTTATACCAAATTGAAGAATCTGGCTTGATCCTGGTTTCAACATGCCGTCTCCATAGCCCTCAGGGAGATGATCAATAATTCATTGTTGACATCTGACATCTAGTTCTTATTTACATTTATCTGGTTGTTTCAGGAATGTCTTTTTGTGGTTGGTTTGCTTGAATCAGAATTTAAACAAAGTCTCCACATGGCATTAGGGTGCTCACCCAAAGTGGTGGAATTAAGTGTTGTTCTGAATACCTTCCTATGCAGTACCGTCCCTGCAAACTTTTCTGGCCCTCCTTTCCACTGCTAGTCCTTCCTTGTGTAGATAATTATGCCCAGGTCTTCCAGTTCTTACAAAAGAGCTCTTTATCTTAATTTATCATTCCATTAGGGTAAGGTATTATCTTTTTTACACCAAATTCTGAAAAGTCTGATCACAGCACCTCAATTTCCTCAGTTCCCTTTTTTACATATTTATTTATATGGGTTTGGAAAGTAAGATGCACTTATTTTTACCCCGAGCAAATCACAAGTGTTCCATCAGTTCACCTTGAGACACTTTACTTTGCATCTCTAAAGTGTACTTTAATTTGCAACGTTTTCTTTCATCTCTATAATGTCATTTTCCACCAAAGGGATCAGTAATTCATTGTAGACATCTAGCATCTAGTCCTTATTTACATTTATCTTGATTGTTCCAGGAATGTCTTTTTATGGTTGGTTTGCTTGAATCAGAATCCAAACAAAGTCTCCCTGTGGCATTTGGTTGTTCTGTCTGGTAAATATCTTGTAAACTGTTGCAGTCCCGCTTCACTGCCGCCTTGGTTTATTTCTTTCCTTTTCCTGCCTTTGGCTTATTGAAAAACCCTATCAGTTTCTCTGAATAAATCTGAATTTATTTACTTATACAGATTTATTTATAGATCTGAGTTTGCATTTATTTATACCAGAATGAATTTCTTAAAACACCGTTTTGCGTGAATGCCTGCTCAATCATCTTCCCTCATTTCTTCACTTCTAGAGCAGTACTGTCTAACAGAAATATAGGGGTGGGCAAAAGTAGGTTAATAATAATAATAAATACAATAATTAAGAAATAAATGATGTAAGAATAAACTCTATGTTCTGTGTACCCACAACTGTAAACCCACTTTTACCCACACATGTATAATGTATAATGCAGGCCATGTTTGTGGCCGTGTAGCCATGTTAGGCAAGTAAAATGAAACAAGAGAAATGAATTTCAATAATATATTTAATTTAACCCAGTATATACAGAATGTGACCATTTCAAAATGTAATTCATATAAAAATTATTGAGATATGGTCTATTTCTTTTTCATGCTAAATCTTCAAAGCTGTCTGTATTTTAACTGTACAGTGTGTCTCAATCTGGACTAGCCAAATTCAAGTGCTCAACAGCCACATCTAACTAGTAACTCCCTTATTGAACAGATAGGTGGTCAAGAAGATAAAGTCCTAACTCCTTAACTTGGCATTCAGTTACCTTCCCAATATGATCCTTAGTTTTTCAGCCTCATCACCTATTATACAATAAACATAAACAATTGGATCTTTTCTTGGTTTTCCACCCACAATTCTGTTCTGATGGTTCTTCCTTGCTTTATAACACCTTAGCTCTTTACTTCCTCCTATGCGTTTTAGCCCTTCTTTAGGACCTTTTTTTATCACACCTTTTATGTTGGCCCAGTCGTTGGAAATTACTTTCTTCCTCTCAACTTTCATAACATGTCCTGTGTGTAGTACTCATCCTACCCCACACGGTATTTTTATGTACTTCGAATGCATGTTCTGGATCTCTTATTGGATTGACCGATCTCTGAGGGTAGGGACACCTCTCATGGAAACTAAGCACCAGCTATGTTGCCACATTCTCTGGAGTTCTAACGATGAGTATCTATAATAGGTTTGCTTGTTACCTTTTTTTAAGAGAGCAGTTTTTTTTTCCAGTTTAGGTAAAACGAATATTGCAGAAATATAAACTGTTAGCGTAGTAGTTAAGAGCATAGTGTCTGGACTCATACAGCGTACGTAGACTTGAATCCAGACTCTGCCTCTAACTGGTTATGTGAACAGTTTTAAGTTAATCTCTATGCCTTGGTTCCTTCCTCTATAAAATAGGGGTCATTATAGTATCTTCCTCATAGATTTGTTGTGAGGTAATAGTGCCTGAAAATAGTAAGTACTCAATAAAGGTTAGCTATTGTTATTAATACTGAAATATATTGTTTTGATATTCATAGCAGTACTTTAGGAATTTCCAAACAGAGCAAATGAAAGCCACTAATTATATAATTGGAAAAATGAAACCAAACCCAAATGCTTGTTGAACTGTAGCTTGTAGGATAAATTAAAAGCATGGGCCAAAACTTCTTCATCCTGTGTCACCAGCATAAACATAAGCTAAATAAACATACATTGAATATTTTCTTTCAAAATTATTGTTTAAATACTACCTCTAGAGGTAGACATGTGTCAAGATGATTGATCAAATTCTATATCTAAAAATAGCTATAGCTGTAGATATGTGGATATAGAAATAGCTAGAGTTTAAGATTTGGTTGTAAAAAAAAATCCTTGCTTATTGTATTAGTAACAAAATCACATTCTTACTCAATTTGTTATTTTAGTACTTGCCTGTCCATAAACTAAGGAATGATCACCAAACATTAACAAATTCTTAGTTTGAGATTATACTAGTAAACTGTGTTCTTAATGGCGAATAATATTTGCAATATCTACAGTGTACTTTTGCTATTTTTCTTATTATAGGATTGTATTTACTTAGTTCTTTTACTGTTTTTTCACCAACTCTTCTTTAATTTCCTTGATTTTTTCATAAATTACTTTATTATAGTTCAATTCCAGTTGTCTGCATTTTCCCCCCACTACTACCCCCAACCCTATCCAAACCCACCTCCCTCCCTTGCTTCCACCCTTCCCCTTGGTTTTGTCCATGAGTCCTTTATAGTAGTTCCTGAAAACCATTTTCCCCACTGTCCCCTTCCCCTTTCCCTCTGGTTGCTATCAGATTGTTCTTAATTTCAGTGTCTCTGGTTATATTTTGTTTGCTTTTTTTCTTTTGTTAATTATGTTCCAGTTAAAGGTGAGATCATATGGTATTTTTCTGTTACTGCCTAGCTATTTTGCTTTGCATGATGCTCTCTAGTTCCATCCATGCTGTTGCAAAGGGTATAAGCTCCTTTCTCTCTGCTGCATAGTATTCCATCATGTAAATGTACCATAGTTTTCTGATCTACTCATTTGCTGATGGGCAGTTAGGTTGCTTCCAGCCCTTGGCTATTGTAAATTGTGCTGCTATGAACATTGGGGTTCATAGGTTCTTTTGTATTTGTGTTTTAGGCTTCTTAGGATATAATTCCAGCAGTGGAATTGCTGGGTCAAAAGGCAGTTCCATTTTTAGTTTTCTGAGGAAATTCCATACTGTTTTCCACAGTGGCTGTACCAGTCTGCATTTCCACCAAGAGTGTGCTCAGGTTCCCTTTTCTCCTCATCCTCTCCAACACTTGTTTGTTGATTTGTTTATGA